CACAAGAAGCATTAAGAAAACTACACCAAGACTCATCATAATCAAATTACTCAAAACCAGTGGTTAAGAAAAAATACTAAAAGTAGAAAGAAAAAGGTCACATACAGAGGAACAAAGGCAAAGATGACAGCAGATGTCTCTGAGAGCATGACAAGTGAGGAAACAGTGGAGCAACATCTTTAAAGTCTTGAAAGAAAAAAAAAACCCTGTCAACCTAGAACTCTATACTTGGTAGAAATAATTTTAAGAAATGAAGGCAAAGTAAAATTATTTTAAGATATAAAAGAATTGAAAGAATTCACCAGCAGACTTGCACTACAAGAAATATTAAAGGGAGTCTTTAAAGTCAGAAGGAAAATGTTACCAGTTGGAAATATTTTCACAAAGGAACAAATAGCACCTGAAATGGTAACTACATGGATAAACATATGAGAGTTGTTTCTTATTAGTTAAGTCTCTTAAAAAGAAAATTGACTGTTTAAACAAAAATTGTGACAATGCATTGTAAGGTTTCTAACGTAAGTAAAATTTATAACAACAAGAGTACAAGGTCAGAAGTGGAGAAATAGAAGTAAGGATTGGGAAGGGTAAAATGGAACTGTGCTATTGTAAGTTTCTTCTACAGATGCTCCTTGACTTATGATGGGGCTATGCCAAATCGACCTATCACAAGTTGAAAATATTGTAAGTCAAAAGCATTTAATATACCTAACCTCCTGAATAGCCTAGCTTAGCCTAGCTTACCTAAATGTGCTCAGAACACTTACAGTAGCCTTCAGTTGGGCAAAATCATCTGGCAACACAGTACATGGTAAAGGATAAGTTGTTTACCATCATGATCACATGGCTAACTGGGAACTGAGGCTCTGAGAATATCGTACTGCATCTTGCTAGCCTGGGAAAAGATCAAAATTCAAAATTGGAAGTATGGTTTCTACTGAACACATATTGTTTTTGCACCTTTGTAAAATTGAAAAATCGTATGTGGAACCATTGTAAGTCCAGGACTGTCTGTAATATACGTGAAGTATTATAATATCACTTGAAGGTAGATTGTGAAAAGTTAAAGATGTATACTATAAACCCTAAAGAAGCTGTTAAAATAGTAAAGAGTTATAGCTAATCAATCAATAAAGGAAAGAAAATGGAATCATAAAAATATTTAATTAATCCAAAAGAAAGCAGAAGATGAGGCACAAAGAATAGATGGGGCAAGTTGAAAACAAATAGCTAGATGATAGAATAGCAAGAAGAAATAGATGAATTAGAGATTTCAGTACTCTTCTCTCAATAGCTGATAGAAGAAGAAGACAAAAAATCAATAAGGATACAGAAGACTTGAACAATACTACCCATCATCTTGAAACTGACTGGCATTTCTAGAACACTGCATTGCACAAAGCAGAATGGGCATTATTTTAAAGTGCATATGCAACACTTAACAAGATAGACCATATTCTGGGCCATAAATAGTCCTCACTAAATATAAAAGGATTCAGGTCATGCAAAATATGTTCTCTGACCACAGCAGAATTAACTAGAAATCAGTAATAGATATTTAGAAAATTCCCAAGTATTTGGAACCTAAATAACACATTTCTAAGTAACTCATGAATCAAAGAAGACATCACAGGTAAATTAGAAAACATTTATGAACACACGATATATCAGATGTGCGGAATGCCGCTAAATCGGTACTGAATTGCCCTGTATCTATTAAAGAAATGGAATTTGTGGTTAAAAATCTTTCCCAAAGAAAGCTCCAGGTCTAGATGGCTTTACTAGAGACTTCTAACAAACATTTAAGAAGAAATAATACCAATTCTACATAAACTCTTCCAGAAAATTGAAGAAGAGGGAATAGGAATATTTCCCAATTCATTCTTTAAGGTCAGCATTACCTTTATAGTAAACCCAGAGAAAGACATTACACAAAGAGAAAACTATAAACCAGTATCACTCATGAACATAGATGAAAAAATCTATTCAAAATTTAGCAAATCAAATCCAACAATGTATAAAAAGAATAATATATTGTGACAAAGTGGG